GTCAGTCTGCTAAGCCGTCAAATTGTGCGTGTGCTGAGCAGCCTGACGCCGTTCCGGAGATCTGCAGGCTGACGATCCCCAGAGAAAAGCCTCCAGCCCCGCCCAGTCCCCTCCAGTGTCTCCATCCTGCCCTGGCACCCCTGGGCCTTTGCTAGTCAGCATGCCGGCCGGGGGCGAAGCCCTCAGCGTCCTGGCTCTGGGCACATCCACGCCCAGTCCTGGTCCTGCATTCATCCTTCCTCCCCGCGCCGTTCCGGAGATCTGCAGGCTGACGATCCCCAGAGAAAAGCCTCCAGCCCCGCCCAGTCCCCTCCAGTGTCTCCATCCTGCCCTGGCACCCCTGGGCCTTTGCTAGTCAGCATGCCGGCCGGGGGCGAAGCCCTCAGCGTCCTGGCTCTGGGCACATCCACGCCCAGTCCTGGTCCTGCATTCATCCTTCCTCCCCGCCCAGCGCCGGGCTGGCATTTGGGGGACCGGTCCCTCTACCACTCCCCACTCACGAAGCCTTCCCGGCTGAAGTTGGTGCCCGCCGGGCACAGCTGTCTCTGGCCACCGGAGCATCTGCAGGGGGAGCTGGGCGGTGCCCAAGCAGGGCCCGGCTGGGCCCAGCATCCCCCGCAGTTGTCCTTTGACCCCCACGCCTGCGCTGCGTTGTCTGAAAGACGACGGTACAACGGAGAGCAAGGAGGCAGGGACCCCTTTCCCCGGAGAGAGCTCCCTGCTCTTGGGGAGCCCTGTTCTCCCCCCACAGCTTCTGGGGCTGCTCAGGGCTGATCCCACATAGCTTGGGTGGGTCCTGAGCAGGCAGGAAGGGGTGCTCCCTCCCTGCCCACGGAACGGGCGCGCGCACAGGGCGCTGCCCACGAGGCAGAGCCAGGAGCGCCCCTGCTGCGTGGAATGCGGGGTGCTCCCTGCCAGTGATGTGACCGGCAGGGACGGCGCGTAACTCGGAGGGGTGGGGCCCGGGAGGAGGCGCTGCCCCACATGGGACAGGGGGCATGGCTCCCGGAGCGGGGGAGCTCTGCATGGGAGATCAGAGTCCACGGGAGGGCTGGCTGGGGTAGGCAGCGTGGAGCGCGAAGGGCACAAGCACCGCCCAGTTCCAGAGCCCTCTCGTGCTCAGAGCCACCGGGATACCCCACGCCTGGTCCCGAGAGGCAAATTGGCAACACACGCCGCTCTCTCTCCCCATAGTCATTAGCGAGCGGCCTTGTGAGTCGCTCATTAGCATCTCATCTGCATTCCCCGCACTGATGAGCCCGCGTGAAGCGTGGCTTGAGTAACGTGTCGGTTTCGGGGGTTCCCGAGCTGCTGACTGGCCCCCGGGCTGGCCAGTAGCTCAGCCGGGTCTGCCAGAGGGGCCGTCAGGCCATGGGCCCGCTGCCAGACTGGGAGACGGGCAGCGAGCACGGCAGAGGCAGCCCGGAGTTCATGCCTCTCCAGGTGTGAGCGCGCCAGGCGGAGTTGGGTGCTGGTGGCGCACACGCTGGGATTGCATGGCAGGCGGGCACCGTGGGCAGGGCGCAGGAGGCTATGTTCCCCTCGCGGGGAGAACGGCGTTAAAAAAAAAGTGACCATTGTGATTTTCTCAGAGGAAACACCCCTCCCCCTCCCCCCAGGCCGCTTGGAAACCTGGCTTAACAGCTGCTCTTTTTGTAGACCCTACCAAGACCGACTGTTTCAAGTCCGCCTCCTCCCGCGGTCTCTTCCACCTCAGTGGATGAACAAAGCCACGAAACCCCTCTCCCTGCTGGTAGATGGGGCGTCTGATCCAGAGCCACTGAGATGACGGCGGAGTCCCGCCCTCCCCTCCGTACAGATGTGTGTGCAGATGTGGTCGTCTCACCTCAGAAAGCGAGCTTGGCGTTAGCGAAGGGTCAGAAAAGGGCCACAAAAAGGAGGAGTGGTTTGGAACAGGTTCCATATGAAGAGAAATTAAGCAGTCTGGGTCTTTTCAGCTTAGAAAAGAGGAATCTAAGGAGGGATAGGAGAGAGGTTTTGAAAATCACAATTGGTGCAGAGAACGTGAATAAGGCAAAGTTATTTGCTTGTTCGCACAACATAAGACCTAGAGGTCACCATATGAAATGAACAGGGAGCAGGTTTAAAACAAACCAAAGGACATTTCTCTTCACGCAGCGCACAGTTAACCTGTGGAACTCCTCGCCAGAGGATGTTGTGGAGGCCAGGACATTAACAGGGTTCAGAAAAGAGCTAGATAGATTCATGGAGGTTAGGTCCATCAATGGCTCTTGGGTAGGATGGTGTCAGGGGCTGGGAATAGGTGACGGGAAGGATCACTTGATCATTCCCTGTTCTGTTCACTCCCTCGGGGGCACCTGGCATTGGCCACTGTGGGCAGACAGGACACTGGGCGGGATGGGGCGTTGGTCTGACCCAGTGTGGCCGTTCTCATGCACCTTGGGGCTGGAAAGAGGCAGCGCTCCCGCACTGGGGCCAGGGCCTTGCCTGGGGCAGCCTGCCAGACGAGAAGAGGCCCTGGGTGGCCAGGCCCACCGGGCCGGGCCCTGATTCTCCTCTGTCTCCAGGTGGACAGGAGCGAGGTCATCAAGAGCAACCTCCACCCCGTCTTCTCCAAGGTCTTCTCGGTGGACTACTACTTCGAGGAGGTGCAGAAGCTGCGCTTCGAGGTGTACGACAGCCATGGGCACGCCAGCCTGGGGACGCACGACGACGACTTCCTGGGGGGCATGGAGTGCACCGTGGGCCAGGTACTCGCCCGCAGGGGCCGCGGCTCTCCCCTGCCCCCGGGCTGGCCGGGGCCCGTCCCTGGCTCCCACGGAACTGCTCTCTTCCTCCCTGCCCAGGCCCGCGCGGGAATCGGGGAGTGCCCGGCCTGGGACGGGCTGCTGCCAGGCCCCCCGTGCACGGCTCTGCCAGGGCTGGAGGAGCCCACCCAGGACTCTCTGCCAACCCGGCCGGGGGCCGGGAAATGCCCCAGAGGCCTTGGGGGGGCAGAGGGAGGATGTCTGGCTGGGGGAACATGAGGCTCCCGGCTCCGGGAAAGGGGCCGATTTCAGCCAGGAGGGCCCAGGCCTCTCCCCGCAGCCTGGGAATGGCCGGCGAGAAGGGCTGCCGACACTGCGACCAAACGCAATCGCACACCTTTGCCCTCGCCTTCTGCGAGGCCCCCTGCTCACTCCGGCCCCCTCCCTTGTGTGCCCCCCGCCCCGCTCGTTTTCACCAGGCTGGGAGGATCCCTTTCCGTCCGGGCTGCCCTACCCGCAAGCCTTTGCCCCCTGCAGCGTTTCCGGGCGGCGGGTGCTGCCCTGGGTGGCCCCGGTCTCCCTGGGGAGAAGCGCGTCTCCAGGGAGGGGGGGTGGATGGCACGTCCCCTCCTCCTCCCCGACCCTTGGGGGGTCTCTGAGGTGGCCCCGGCTCCACCAGGAGGTTGGCAGGCTCGGGCCAGGCTGGGAGAGCACTGTGTGTGTTAC